AGTGAATTTAAAAAAAAGCAGTATAAAAACCTGAATGTCCAACTGATAAGGCTGAAAATTTTTTCACTTGTTATTTACAGTAAGATAAATACATTCACCAACTTTTATTAAAATAAAACCATTTAAACTGGGTGTTCGGATTTATATGTCACTTAGTATATATATATACATATATATATATATATATATATATATATATGTATCATATATCAATTATTATTATTATTATATACTTCTCGGATCTTGATGAAATTTTTACACGAAATAGCACATGTGTGTCGGAAAAGGACGTGACGCTTGTTGCGAAGCAGAGCTGATTTTTTGTAATACTCGTATAAATGCACCTATATGGAGAAAAATCGTTATTTTTTCGGCTTTAGGCATTAAGTTCTGTTTATTGTCATATATAAAGAATACTTTTTGTGTGAAATCTACTTCCTGTCGTTCTCGACGCACCTTTGTGGTTGAAGGGGCGATAATTTCTGCTCCAATGACCGAGGTGAGGATAACATATGTTCAAAGGCAAAAATCGGCATGTCTCATCGCACCAGAGTACTATAATTTGTACCAATTTAATATTTAATTAGGATCATAAGAGTACCGTCAAACTCCTTTGTGCTTATACGAAATTTCACAGTTTGTTGGTCAATATAATGCTAACCGTAATCGGCGTACTACAGAATATTCTTTTCATAAGCTATTTAGGGCGATAAGTATGAACATTAAAATTTTACCCGTCATTATTATACGCGATACATTGTTGTGGCTGCCTTCTACACGATTACTTAAGGCTGCGTCATCACAATGTCAATCAAGAATCAAAAGCTGTTATTTTTGCGTTCTATAAGAATGATTTTACTTTTCGGGCTTAGGAAAAAAAAGCATTAAGAAAATTCTCGGAATTGAGATTATAAACTTTTTTATTCAATAAGTGCTGCTTACTACCACTACACATTACCAGCCGTTTTTGACTCAAGAACACCTAAAAGCGTTCACCGATGAACCCCAGAAGCACAAATCATATAACATGCTAGACTCAACCATGATAAAACATCAAATGCTGATCCTCTGTGAAAAGAGACATCAGGTTCTTAAATAAATATGCTTGGAATTCAGTTTTGATGACAGATAAGCAATGTCCTTTAAAGTTGAGACATTGGTCTAAGTTCTAAGTGGAGCCCTAAAAACTTAGTGCCTTTATCACTCTGCAGTGATAAAGGCACTAACTTGTTTTCTCGAAGTAACTGATTTTCTCCACACCAGCTATTTATGTTATGTTTATTTATTAAATCAAACTCGTCTTTATTTGATATAAAGATGGATGAATCGTCCACATTCAACGTGAAGTGTGCTTCAGGGAAACATTGCTCTAGGTCATTTATATAAAGGGAGAACAGCACTGGCCCCAATATAGATCCTTGTGGGACGCCTATATCTATGTTAACCATACCCGATGCTTCAGTTGACCAGCGTTGTTGTGTTATTTACACGTATTGTGACCTATTATATACTCCGTTAGTTTGGCTAATAGTCATGACTGACATAGTCGAATGCCCTACTGAGGTCACAAAATATCCCAACAGGGCAGTCTCCTGCCTCAATAACGTGTTGATAAATGAATGACATGCGGGCATGGTTGACTTTCCAATACGGAAACCATGTCGATTGGATGACAGGATGTCATTGCTTTCCAAGAACAGCAGAAGTCGATCTGACAAACAATACTCAAGGATCTAGTGCGGAAAGGTATACAAACTATATGAAAATAAAAGGTAACTTATATGACATAAATGGCATGGCGCAATATGGTACAAATTATAAATTTTTACAAACCTAAAAGAAGAAAACGAAAGCATGTGGCAACATTATTATTAATGTTATGCCACAACTATGCATAGTGTATTCCACTATGACTCGTTAATAATAAACCTTTAATATAGCAACTATGTTGTTACGAGCATTGTAGGTGAAACTTTGCTGGAACAAGATGAATTATGGTGGGTAATAGTTATTGTGCTTCTAAGCCTGATGGTTTTATTACGCGCACTACCTCTAAGAATTCACTTTTCTCTAAGATATAGAGGTTCAGATGTAAGCATAAATTTGTGGATGAAATTAAAATGATTAAGATTCATGTTGCTTATTTTCGGCGTCTGTATGTATTAACGTTCTGTCCGCGTAATTTCATTAACCGCCGCACTGATGTAGATCAGTTTTTGTATGTTTTACATCACCCTGATAAAGGATAAAGGTCCATAAAGGGGTTTTCAGACCTGAAAATAACTGAAATTTCAAGTTGATCACATCTGTGAAATTTTTGCATTTAAATATTTCAGAACATATGTATTTTATGAACTTTTTGCGCACCTACCAATGGTGGCGATCGCGGATTTTCTCTTGCTTACACACAATGTTTTGATAGTTTTCAAAAAACCGTACCCACTTTGTTTGCTTCCCGGTCGCCTGTCTCCAAGACTAGGCCTATACCGCTGTGATGAGTTGGCAACGAGCACAAGACAGCGCTCTCTGGTTATGGTTACAGAAACGGAAAGTTAACATGTCAGTTTCAACCAGTGGTGAACAATCATCAAAATTTTTCTTTTTCTTATACTTTACGTTCGTAATTTTGGCACTTCCAACATTGACCAATTTATTCAACTTACTTTTTTATATGAGCGCATTTTCGCAGACATAAAACATATATAATAATAAGTGTTGTGCCTTTACGCTGACACTAAACGAATTATTCGACTCCGATGTGTACAAAAATGCCAACTTTACAAACTCTGGGATTTTAAAGAACTTTTAAAAAAATAAGTTGAAAGTTGGAAAATTCATGTATATAGGAATATTTAAATGTAGAAATTGCATATATGCAATCAACTAAACCTTTGAGTTATTTCCAGCTCCGGTACCCACCATGGAACCTGATCCTTTAGGGAGTAGTAAAAATATGAAAATATCCCTACTCAGTTTTTATCCATAAATTATTTCTTACTTCTAAATAGCCTTACTTGCGGAAAAATTTTCATTCAACAATGCTATTCATTCTAGGCCACACAGAGATAAAGTTATCAGGATATATCAGCATTCAACAACCCTTCTGCAACAATGTTGCCAACATATATAATTTTTACCAACATTGTATAAACAATAAATATTACCAGCTACCAGTTACTGCAATGTCTTGATTAAACATCATGTTTTTTTCAGTTCCTTACCATTTCTTCTGGCTTTTCTACTTTTTGGTGTATGTACTTTGCTTTGGAAAATATGCCTGTTTTCGCTTTATTTTAATAATTTACTACTATAAGCTTGTTGAGAATGATATGTCAATATTATTAACATCTGCTAGTGACATATTAAATGTAACATAAGAGTAGCAAACGCCATTCAAGTCTTACCTTAACTGCATTACAATGTTGTACAGATACAAAGACGTCTATTACTATTCTTGTTATTATTATTTCTTTCAATATATCCGGGAGCTCATCAGGTTCAACCTGATTTTTTATTGCTAAACTGATACCGTTGCGTCAAGTTACTTTGTGGCACAAAACAGGGAGAAAGTGCGGTATATTTATTTTGTAAATGGCCAAATTACAGATCGGCACCATCCAACGACTTCTTGAAGGTTATTTTTCGCCTACTCTTACCCTCTCTGCAATAAAAATGTTATTCACTCTGACTATACCATAACTTCGATGAAATGTGATTTTTCTTCGCATATCTATATTTTTACTGCCAAGCATAAAAATGCTTCCGCAGTCTTCCTCAAATTATTGGACAGATACTGCTGGATAGTAGGGTATCATAGGATTTGTTTACTTGGCAAATTGATCCAAAGGTTAGTCATTATACAGGGTATTTCCTAAATGAATTTCAATATTTGATGTAGTCCTTTTTACGTCCATTTTAAGAGGAAAACTTTATGTTCTAAACGTCATAAATTTTAAAGTTTTCAATATGAAGTCAGTTGCACACCCAGGGTTGTTATGTTTTAATCAAAATGTTTAAAACAAGTGTTTTAAACACTGTTTCAAATAATGAAGGTGTTTTAAACCAATTTGTTTTAAACACTATTTTTTTTTGTCGTTTGTGGATTATCCAAGTTTTTTTTATATTTTTCAAGTATGATTAAAATTTTGCAAAACGAAACTAAAAGGGCCACAGGCTGAAGTACATAGGTACTAAAAAATTTACTTAATTTTTTATTAATTGATCAAACTAGGGAACTAATACTAGTGGAAAAAATCTGTTTCTTAACGAACGAGTGAACTTAATAAACTTCATTGAACTCTAATACTAGTAGGTACACTACAAACAGCAGAATAATCATATAATATGACTATGTATTTACTTGTATAATAACATTAAATAAGTTATTTAACAAATTTCTATAAAAGTATATAACAAATCTTATTTAACAAAAAATCCTCAAATCCATATTTTTAAAATATAAAATCATGGAAAATATACGTATAATAAATTTTTAGTTTTCACTACTTTTTCCGGAACTCCAAGTAAAAAAATATACCTTTTTCACAATTCTCCAAGTTACTTAACTTTGAGGAAATAGGTTCGGTAGAAACATCATTGTCGGTATGAGAACTATCTGAATGAATATTTTGTTTTTCTAAAAAAAATCCTTGTTTAAGTTGTTTACAATTTTTAATACGCTTGCGCATTCTAGCCACCAGTGGGACTATATCCATATTGCAGGTTAAACATTCTTTTATTTATTTTCTAGGCAGCTTTGGCACCAGTTTCCTTAAAATATTTCCATACGGGATCCTTTCTTCTCCCTGTCATGGCCTTTCTTTTTTTGTCGATCTTTAATGCACAAAAACAAAACACACCACATGCTACGACTTCGGACATTTGGCTGCTGGAGATCGCAACGCGAAAAATTACCCAAAGGCAAACGACGTCCGCTTTTAAATTAGAGATGTGCTCTGATAGAGCTAGATCAAAAATAGTAACACTTTCAAGGAACTTCATTAACGTTTTAACCCTGTATGGTATCATGTATATTTAAATATACAAATATCAAACAATTTGTCCTTTGCGTCTTATGACCCGCAAGTCGAAGCTACACAGTGTATATCTGAATATACACGTGTGATCGATCGTTTTCGGTAGATTTCGTTGGTAAATCACCCACTTCGGGCAGTTATTTCAGTCTGTACGGAAAGTGTCGTGCTGTTTGGACGCCGCCGGTAAACACGTGATATCAAATAACATTATTAGTGTGTTTTGTTGGCAGAATTGAGCGTACATTTTTTTTGAATACTTATTGAGGTATGTTTACTACAAAGGCATGTTAGAAATAATATATATTTTATATTATTGTACTTTTCAGGCCACTGACGTCACTGTATATTTGAATGTACATTGTTCAATTCTGGTTTCGACTTTACAGAAATTATGGATCCAAAAATATTTTATGGAAAAAAGGAACATGTTACAGTATTAGTACCGGACTTGGATAGTGAGGAGGATTTCGATAGTGATGATAGCTTATTAGACGAAACATATAAACCCACTTTGCTAGATTATGATGGTAGGTAAAATACTATGGAAATAATAAGTTGTGTTGCTATTTTTTTTTTTTTAGAAGAGGATTTATTGGAGAGCAGTAGTGGAGAGGAAAGTAATGCTGACAACCAAGGAAACAACAATGAGGAAAGGAATAATCTAGGTAGCTGGAATGAAGATGACGAGATCCCTCTCAGACAACTTCGAGATAAGATTCTCCGTGTGTCTGCTGTTTCTGTTCAAGGTGGGGTCAAAAACATGAAAATCAAGAAGGCTCCCTTGAAATGGCAAAGCTCTAATAAGGAGCCCAGTGATTTGCCAACTTGGAAAGCTCAACTACCCTCTCAGACATCTGTAGAGACACCATTGCATTATTTTTACAAATTAGTCGATAAGGAGTTGTTGGAATACATAGTAGAACAAACGAACCTATATGCGGCACAGAAGGACATAGGTCTAAATTTCTGCATGGATTCCAAAGAGCTAGAGCAATTTATTGGCGTTTGTTTCTATATGTCACTGATTACAGTGCCTGGGACCAGAAGATACTGGAGCAGTGCCTGCAGAGTGTCTCAAGTGGCAGACGTAATGCCTCTTCGGAGGTGGGAACAAATAAAAAAGTTTCTGCATTTTGCAGATAATTCTACATTGCCAGTTGAACCACCGTCTTTTCAAAATCAGGAAGCTCGTGGAGAGTATAAGGAAAAATTTGAGACTAATTCCCATGGAACAGCACCTTTCTGTCGATGAGCAGATAATACCGTTCAAAGGCCGTAGCTCCCTGAAACAGTACAATCCGAAAAAACCAAAAAAATGGGGTTACAAAATATTTTGTTTGGCAGGTGCTAGTGGTATTATCTACGACTTTGAATTTTACTGTGGGGCCACGAATCAACCGGAAAATCTACCGGATATAAGTGCTAGTAGCAATATAGTGATTCGACTGGCTGAAAACATTCCAAAACACCAGAATTTCCTGCTGTTCTTTGATAACTGGTTTTGTAGCCCCGAGCTTCAAATCGAATTAGCTCGGAATGGTATTTACAGTGTGGGAACTATACAGGAGAATCGAGTGCCATCCAGTGGTTTGCCAACCGACAAATCACTGAAAAAACAGGGCAGGGGGAGCTTCGAGGAAAGAATTACAAGCTGTGGAAGCACTAAACTAAAGATAGTGAAATGGCAGGACAATAAAGTGGTGACTTTGCTAAGTACATTCATAGGCGGCTATCCTGTGACTACTATAAAAAGATTTGACCGCAAAAACCGACAAGATGTAAACATCCAATGTCCCAGTATTATACTCATATACAATAAATTCATGGGGGGTGTCGATTTGATAGACTCTCTTCTGGCATTGTACAGAACGAAAATAAGATCAAGAAAATATTACTTGCGTATTTTCTTTCATTTGATGGATATGTGTGTAGTTATCTCTTGGCTTTTATATAGGCGCGCTTCCGACGACTGTGGCGTATCTAAAAAACACCAAATGTCGCTTTATGATTTCAAAAGTGATTTAGCACAAAGTTTATGTTGGGTGGGAAAACAAAACAAAAGAGGTCGTCCTTCATCAAGTTCTCAGTTACCACCCGTAAAGAAACAAAAGATATCTAGTGTTCGACCAAATATAGATTGTAGAACAGATGGAATGTCTCACATATGAACAAAAAACTGGAAGATGTAAGAATGGACGTTGCCAAAAGATTACCAAAGTAATGTGTACCAAATGCAAGTGTTATTTATGTTTTGTGCCGGATAGAAACTGCTTTACTCATTTTCATACATGAAATTATTTTGAAAATGTATTTGTTACTTCATTTGTGGTTATTCAAGCTTTTGTAGCTCTTTTAGTTTCAGTTTTTTATTGACGGAATGGTGTAATGTATATTTCAATATACATATGTTTAGTTCAAAAATAGTTTGTTTTGAAGATAAAATATCCAAATAAAGTTTATTCTTATGCTCATAAACAAATCATATTTCGACCAAAACAATTTTTTTAACCAGTCCAACTAGGTGTGTACAATAGAGGGTTAAGCATGTATTAACAGTATTTTAAACATGTTTTAAATGTTGCTAAATTTTAATGTTTTCAACAAAAAAAAGTTTGCTTTTTTAAACATGTGTCATCTCTTATGATAAATAAATTGAAATCTCTATTCATAAAAAACACAGGTCACAGTTTTGACCCAAGTCCAGACTTTGTGCTAGGAGGACTTGCTCATTCTTTTTCTCAAATACACAGTAGTTTTTGAAAGTACTGTGATGAGGATTTTGATATGTGCGTAACTCGAACAACACTTGGGTGGTGCCATGCCGAGTCAACCTATTTGAGGCTGTTTTATCTCTGTCAATACTTTTATCCTCGGATTTGTTATGCAGGATATACCGTTATCAACATGGCCCCATCTAATCGGGCATATGTTTAATTTTGAATAGTTTTTCTGTGTCTGTGAGACGCAACACCCAAATAGCGGTTTGTTTATGTTACTCCAATCCGTTTAGAGGATGATACTATTTACACACCAGAATAAATACGCACCATATGACAAATACCTATCCTCGTATTTGTTATACAAAAGGCGTTTTTACTTCAAACAAGGTGGTCCCTATTGCTCGACAAATAAACTTTGAGATAAGGGGAGTATTCTTCGAAAAATTCTCCTTAAATAACTGTACGGACTCATGCCATTGAAATCTTTTAATAAGCTCAATTATACTGGGTGACAAAAACAGGTAAACACCTACGTATGTTTATCCGATTTTAGTAATTTTTGGCATATAGGGGTATGTTCATCGTCCCTTACTAGTAAGATGATTAAATTTTCAGCAGAAGCTGCTTTAATAATGTGTTGAGGATCCACGATTTCTTATACACTCATTGACATGCCTGGGCATCATGCTGATAAGGTGGTTCCAGGCTACTACAACTTCGTGATTAAGATCTGCTAAAGTATGTGGAGGGTGTTGCAAATTTAAGAGCCTGCGACCTATCATGTCCCAGACATGTTCAATTGGAGATAGGTCAGGTGATCGTGGTGGCCAAGGTAAACGGTTGAAGCGATTTTAATCCATGAAGGTTAGCGATGATCTGGCAACATGCGGTCTGGCATTGTCTTGCTGAAAAATCGGGTTTTGGATGGTGTTTAAGTATTACAAAAAGGCTTCTCACTAAGCAACACAAAATTTAACATTTAACTGACACCGCAAATGTACGAAAACTGAATGCTTCTTTATCACCAAACACTCAGTATAGCTTATTAGCGCAATTTTGCTGGTGATTCGACCCTCTGAGCAATAAAGCGAAAAGACCTTGTTAATTTTCATCCAAAATATATCGTTGTTTAATCTATTTGCAACATACAGCGAAAACCAAATTTGTCTGACTGCTCGAGTTAAAATGTACAAGAGAAAAGCGTGAGAAGTATGTATCAACACATGTTAGAAAGAGATAGAAGCCGCCTGAAGAGCGAAGGTCCCACTACGTTGTTTAGCGACGGACTAGGTCGTGCAGTCTGCCGCGTTGCCAATATGTTACACCAGAAAATGTTCGCACAAGCTGCTACAATAGGTTAGGTTACTGTCAAAGGCAATAAGGAGGTCTGTTCGAACATTTAATGCAATATTAACCGATGGTTATACACATCCGGAGTTATCGTTACAATTTGCAACAGCGAGCGGTCGGCAACTGTAACAAATACTATTACGCTATACAGCTTATCACTGCCAGCGTGTAAGCAGGTGAAAACCATTTTGAAGCAGGACGACATCCCCAATGAGCGCTACATTGGTACTGACCAAAATCTTTCATCTATGACCATGGAGGTGGAAACCTTGCTTTGGAATGTACGAGATGCGGTGTTGCCAAGCTAACCAATGATGCAATGTGGCAGAATTTGTGGCGATCCTGACCTTTCATTTCGACCTAAAATGGATCGCCGTGAGGACCAATCCGGAATCGATCCTAAACAGATTCGACACAATTCACAAATCAAAAATGCGTACGCTCAAAACAAAACAAAATGTTGAAGCAGGACGACACTCCCCAATGAGCGCCACATTGGTACTGACCAAAATCGTTCATCTATGACCATGGAGGTGGAAACCTTGCCTTGGAATTACGAGATGCGGTGTTGCCAAGCGAACCAATGATGCAATGTGGCAGAATTTGTGGCGATCCTGACCTTTCATTTCGACCTAAAATGGATCGCCATCAGGACCGATCCGGAATCGATCCTAAACAGTTTCGACACAATTCACAGATCAAAAATGCGTACGCTCAAAACAAAACAAAATTTTGAAGCAGGACGACACTCCCCAATGAGCGCCACATTGGTACTGACCAAAATCGTTCATCTATGACCATGGAGGTGGAAACCTTGCCTTGGAATGTACGAGATGCGGTGTTGCCAAGCGAACCAATGATGCAATGTGGCAGAATTTGTGGCGATCCTGACCTTTCATTTCGACCTAAAATGGATCGCCGTCAAGACCAATCCGGAATCGATCCTAAACAGATTCGACACAATTCACAAATCAAAATGTGTACGCTCAAAACAAAACAACATTTTGAAGCAGGACGACACTGCCCAATGAGCGCCACATTGGTACTGACCAAAATCGTTCATCTATGACCATGGAGGTGGAAACCTTGCTTTGGAATGTACGAGATGCGGTGTTGCCAAGCTAACCAATGATGCAATGTGGCAGAATTTGTGGCGATCCTGAACTTTCATTTCAACCTAAAATGGATCGCCGTCAGGACCAATCCGGAATCGCTCCTAAACAGATTCGACACAATTCACAAATCAAAAATGCGTACGCTCAAAACAAAACAACATTTTGAAGCAGGACGACACTGCCCAATGAACGCCACATTGGTACTGACCAAAATCGTTCATCTATGACCATGGAGGTGGAAACCTTGCTTTGGAATGTACGAGATGCGGTGTTGCCAAGCGAACCAATGATGCAATGTGGCAGAATTTGTGGCGATCCTGACCTTTCATTTCGACCTAAAATGGATCGCCGTCAGGACCAATCCGAAATCGATCCTAAACAGATTCGACACAATTCACAAATCAAAAATGCGTTCGCTCAAAAAAAAAACATTATTTCGGCGTAGAGAATAACCTAACGCATACTTTCAACATGCATCTTAATTCAAGGAATTGGTGGAACATATTGGCAATGCGGTAGATTTCCGCGTCAGCGTTGCTAAGCAACGCAGTGGTGAGCCTCGCTATCCAGCCGGCTTTTATCGCTTTCTAACATACTATATATGTCTATACAGATAGATTTCTCTCTCGTACATATTGATCTCAAGCCGTCAGGACAAATTTGAATACCCCTCTTAAGGATAGCCGACGGATTCATATTGCAGGTATATCTATTTATGTCGTCATTTGGTAAAAGAAAAATGATGAACTAGAATCGTGTCACTGTATTTCTTGAGATATTCTTATGAAATCAACCTGTGTAGATAAGGATTTGTGCTCAGGATTGCACATATATGATGGAGAGAAACGAAGTATTTAATATGCAAGCTGTTCGAGATCTGCGATTCAACGTTTAAATGACATTTTATATTCCTTTATGCATTCTCTTTGATCATATCATTTATTCAGCAGGTTTTCTTCTGAATGAAAACGTTATACGATATCCTGTTATTAATATTCAACAATTATTTGATATGACTCCAGACCACTTAAGCTGACTTCATTCTATACAACTTGCAAAACATGTTTTAAAATGTTTCATCTATCTTTTATACCCTGAGATGGTAAAATCAAAGGTACAATAATAGATAGATACTTTTCTAGCCCTGGTTGAACGAACCATGTTAAAAAATGCAACTTGCAACTGTGTTTTCAATTTTTCTTCTCACGATAACAGGCAAGGAGCTTCTATAGATGCAAAAAATGGCGTCAAGTAGATTGACTCTATACTTCCAACAACTGTTAGTACAATTTTCCTCTGTAAAAAAATGCGCCAAAATTTCGGTCTTTGACGTTTCAGCGATCCCTGCCCATTTTATTTTTGAGGTTTGAACATTGAAACTAACAAGTTGTAGCGGGTGGGCTTGTTGTTTTGTATCTTTGGTATCCCAACATTTTAAATTAAAATTACGTAAATTCGACCAAAAAATAGTTTAAAATGATTGCATGGCCATTTTTTTGAACTCTTTATCCAACGGAGGTGTGAGAAGTATAGGTTCTACGCCATTTTTTTTCAAGTGCCTCCTTACTTAGCCACGAGCCTATTTTCTTTTATGTTTTATATGCAGGATGGTGATATATGTAAATTTTTTCAGGGTGACACTGCCATGGCCTGGCATGGAAAACTTCGGCCTGGCCTGCTTTTATTCCTGTTTTCGTTCGTTGTTATATCCGAAGCGACAGCAAAAGCTTTAGGTAAGTCGAAAATCCGTTTTAAGTAAAACCAAACACGGTTGCTAATGGGACCACGCTAGCCATCGTATACACAAGATTTGCCTGTAAGAATTTCTTCTGATGCTTTGACGATGTTTTGCGTCATAGCACAGTTAAATTAGGTCATTTACACGAGAAAGGATCGCGCACATGGTCCATGAGATTTGCATAGCGGTTGATGTACATTTTTTATCCCTGATTATAAGTTTTAACAGATCTAAACTTATACCTATCATCAGGCTCCTTGACCGAGTCGTTAAAATCGATAAGGCTCGAATACCATGACACTTATATATTCCAATAAGGCCATGTAGTAAATTTAGCTTATATCTAAATTCTATAATAAATCAAATTGATATAATGTCGAGTTTTCAGAAAATTTGAGTGGTCTCAGAAATATTGTGTGTATATTATTTCGCTTTTGAGCAATTTTCCTTTGTTCCTATATTGGTTTGTTAGGAAAATATTTGAAATGCCCAAAATACCAACATTTAGTTTCACAACCTCTGTAGATACTGTGTACTGAGCCGCATGTTGTGAAAATATTTCCACGTATTCATATAAACAAGTACGAACAAGTACTTTGTCAACCTGTTTGCACCTTTTTTTTTTATTTGAACAAAATAGATTCACTATTTTTATTTCTGCTTTGCATGCCTAATTAAAAATATTTATAAGCCTTGATTCTCATCATTCTCTCGAGCGAACACACATTATTCCTTTGAAGTTTGCATGTGTGATGTAGCCCACAGGAATTTGGGAAGAAGGCATACTTAACGTATCAGCTAAAACTTATCGTGTGTTTTTAATGCTGCCAGGACGTTTTCCTGGCAAAATCTCTACATACACATACATATTCACAAAAAATGTTAAAATATAGCATTGTTGTGCAATGTTTTTCTGTATATTGGTCTATGCAGGAATAATGTAATGGTATGCAGTAAAGAATTTGGAAATAAGTCTTTCACATAAAATTTTCTTGAAAAACTTGGTCAACATATTTTTGTTGGCATATCCTTAACGCTAAATATCAGTTCTAACTATAAGTGCGACGTGATCCTAGAACCTTGATTTTTCATCAAAGAAACCACATATGTGAAAAATGTCTTTAAGGACGTTTCGGCCATCACGGTAGCCTTTTTTCAAAGTGCAGATCAAAATAGTAATGACAATATAATATATTTTCTAATAAGTTAGATAAGAAAAAGCTTCAGCCTTTATTGGGTACTTCGGCAAATTAGTGCAAAGTGTACTCTTGTAACTTTATTCTCTAGCTTTCGATGAACTATGTCATCATCATCAGGAGAAAAGTAGGAGAAATTGTTGCTAAATGTTATTAACTAAGTTAATGAGAACACTTGGCAACCTGATGAAAACCTACCTACCTGTCCATGGTAGCAGTAGTTGAAATTTTATAAAATACACATAGCCATGAGTTTATTTTTTTGATTTCTTACATCGTGAACAATCTCGTTACTTTACAAAATGGCGCACCGGACAAAACATGTAAGACCGAAATGTCGATAAGAAATAGATTCTGCATATATGTATGTGGTTTCCTTTTGATATAAAAATATGGAGTTCGAAAGCATTCTTGCTGCATTCGAGTCGATACTATTGAGCAATAGTCGGCAAGATACTCGAAAAATGAAAATATGGCAAAAAATATACTTTTCCTGAATATTTTCTCTACAAAGTTCATAATTGGCGTACGTAAGTTTTCATGAAGGATATGCATCTGAAGTAGGATAATTGGTACTCTTACATGAAATACGGCTACCTTTTTTGATATATCATCCATCAATCTTCTGTTGTATGGTAAAATGCACTTTTTATTGAGCCTCTAACCATAAAATTCTTTTTCAAGGCACAAAGCATTGCTCTAATACCTGTTCTAAATAGGGAGCTACTAAAAAATATACGACATACACAGTACAAAATGCCGTAGAATCATGGGCGTACGAAAGATGTGCGAGATACGATATATTTTAGAAAATTATCTAAAGTTTAAGTAATAAAAAGCAAATAATATTTATTTTCTATGACAGATAATGGCCTAAAAGATAAATAACTATCTGCTTGGATCAAAGTATTAAGTCGAGCCGAACTTAACCAGTTTTTTTCTTCTGTGTGACAATAACCAGCCGTATGCACCGTTGTTTCATGCTTTTCAGCAATCAACAATACGGTATAGGTCTCGTCATTCGATAGTAGAGAATGGAAAGTAAACCAGCGTGTAAGGGTCTATTGAAAAACTCAATATGTACTGCGCAGAGGTGACAACTGCTACCTAAGGAGTTAGTGCTTGTTGTTTAATGTCTGGAGTGTAGGAAGGTTTTAAACGTCGTTGCATCGTCGTGCCTGATCACGCGGGGGTACGTGGTAATGAGATTACAGATACTCTTACAAGGGTAGGGGGTCCAATGAAAGATTCTTTGCGATCTAAATCGAAAAAGTATATTCAAAATAAACGCCCACTGAGGTCGAGAATTATTTCCTGACATCTCCGGCCACCAAGAGAACTAACATACTGCCATGAAGGGATGTTTCTGTCCATAGTTTTATATGAATAATGTACGATTGTTGGTTGGACTTCTTTGATGACAGTCACAAAATATATCATTGATCACGTTATTGAACAAAAATAGTTATTTTCTCCTTTTGTTAAATATTTCATATTAATTACATTTCCTATGCATAAAAGCAGTAAATCAATTTAGTATAGTAGTTTTCAAACTATTCTATGTATGATACAAATACTGCCTTTTTATCCTTTATAACCTACTATGATATTCAATTATTTAGTTTTTATGTAATACCTTATTTGCGAATGAGTATTTATCGCTATAAATATATACTTTTGCTCTGAAAGAATCATTTTGAAAAATGTTCTTCGTTTAATGTAATATATGAGAAAACATGTTTTTAGGTTGTCTATATTTATTTATGAACAAAGTATCTTTTACATGGGCCATAAACTTCTCAATTCCTTGGTTGAATCTATAAGATACCTCAATGGAAAAATACTCAGGTGTGCTCTCTAACTTTTTACTGGATGGTGCAGTTTATTCCGTACACGAGTTTTTCGATGCATGTAATTGTTTTTAGTTTGTTTGGTCCGTCTTGTATGAGGATATTTTTAAAATGTTTTACATATCCAATTTTTTTAAATATTTATGTTATTTATTCTAATCTTTTTTTGATTAATAAATGAATAGAAATTGAAATGAGATATTCCCCACAATTTTTTTTCTGAAAATGATGCCTCTGGAACATAAAAAACGAAGTTTGAACAATTTTAATTTGTATCGAGTTTTTCCGCTAGCTCTGGACCGATTTTTAAAAACTAGCTTCACCGTCCTTGGCATAGTAGTAACCTTATGTGAAAATTTCATCGAAATCCGAGCAGTACTTTCCAAGTTATAGGCAGTCTAAAAATTAGCGGACGGACAGAGGACACATAGACCGACGGAAATGAGTGACATGCTTGTTCGTTATGTCATACAACATCCAAAAAACGTGATATCTCATTTTCGAAACATTTCTATCTCTATCGCTGATAGAGGTACAAAACTTTCCCTTTCATTCATTCATGTTTTATTCACATATTGAATGTTCGTGTCATTGTGCGATAATGGAAAAAATAGTTGTCTACGCCTATGACTATAATTATCTTAATTGTTGGAAACCAACGAATATGAAATATGGCTGGCTCTAAACGAATAATTTAGGAGTTTTTCTACCAAATAGCGGCTTGAATTTTCCACATTTTAATTTGACAACCTATTTTCAAGCGCTATTTTTTTCTAGATTTTATAAATCCTGGAAAACAGTGTTGGCTGCTTCTTATTCTTTATTCGTAACATTGCTAAATTTCAATTCCGGACCGCAAAAGAAAAGGTTCATAATGTCTATGTATTTAGAACTTAGCCTTATCATCTGTATAAATCTATAGGTAACGGGTGTTTCAATTCGACACTCACCATTAGGATTTCGGAAGATACACAAAATCGCTTAAATGGGGGTGATTAACAAAATGCCAATCAGAAAGTTTCAAAATTCAAAGTATTTCCAGAGAGAGACGGAAAAAATCGATTTTTCTCAAAATTGTTTTAATTTTTTCCTGACTGTATCCTTAGTGAGATTTCAAAATAAATAAACATTGCCACCGTTTCTCCTCTACTCTCTTGTGAAATGAAAAAGTGGATTCCACGTCAAAAATAAAAATGCGTGGAACAAATGGCGACTATGTAGAATAATAGCTGAAAGATCAACGTTTTTAATGGTAAATTCGTTTTTGCACATAAAAAAATCCTTGTGCCTGACAAAAATATGTTAACCTTACTTTTGAGACAACCCTCGTAGTAGCTGTAGCATCATAAAGCAAATTACAGTCTTCAAACACAATTTCTCTAAATCTGTCCAGCGGTGTAGTCCCATTAATCTCTAAGAACCTTCAATCAATGTCACTGCCGTAACATTCATCTCGCTTTCCTTTATAAATTCCACCAGGATATGGTAAATGTATATCTAGCAGTTGTGGTTGCCCATTCGAATATCCCTTCTGAGCTAGCAAACAAAGCACTCGGATAGCGATAGCACCTATTCCGTTGTTGGTTTCAATTCATCTTCATCCTCTATCCTTCTGTAAGCACTGGGGACAATATGGAATTCGACTCATCAACATTATTGAAATATTCGAACAGACCAGTCTTTGACACTTTATAACCCAAGAGGCTAGCGACATTTAACTCTCGTGATTTTTAATGGACAGATAGCTCTTATATTTCGTAGCACGGGATGGGATGCCTGCCGACTTGGTAAAAAACAGATAAAGATAATTCCTCCTAAGATGTCATCCCATCGAGAATACCACAAGGCTCCATTTTAGGTCTTCTGAATTTTAGTATTTATACCTCCAACCTTTCCCAGTGTCTCCGAAATTGTCAGGTATATTTGTATACTGACGAACTCAGCTTTAT